GCCACTGAGTGTATATATATACACACACACACACAGAATATACTGTAATAACAAAATGATCCAATTCCATTAAACCAAAGCTTTTCACACACGTGTAAATCCACACACTGTGCTCAATGTGTATAGAACAAAAATTAACCCTGGTGAATCCTATCACCCTTTTAACACACACCTCTCACCCCAAAGGATGGACCTAATGACTATTTTAGGTCTCGTTAAGCTTGTTTCCCAACCTCACAGGAAAAAACCTGGATGGTGTCTTTGTCACCAATGGTTGGTGTATACTCTCAGAGAGGGAACTATGTATAAAATGCATTTAGTATAGCATTTATTCTCAGAGAAGAAACGGGCTGCAAAAATCAATCTGTTTGAAGCATTCAGCACGCCTGCGCCTCTGACTGTTCCACTTTCCGTAACGTCACCTGATCTCCGCCCTAGGCATTGGGTCCGGATGAGTAATTGTCATCTTTACTCTTTGAAGAGCCCCTTGAAGAGGTTTGACCAAAGGAGACTTTGAAAAGTCTTCACTGACATTTTGGAAAGTTACTCTAATCAAACTTGAAAAAAATGTCAGTGGCAATAAGATAGGTAGAACCATATAATTATTTTACCAGTCAATTGGTTGATAAAGTAGATTTAATAATTAAAGTGACACTAAACTCAGGAGTTAAATCTTAAAAATACATTCAAGTACCCTAATTATTAACAATACTGGACCTTATTTGTGTATCACTCGGCTGTAGGTAGTCAAATCATCTCTGAATTCATGCTGACACTGGTCCCTGTGTGTGTTGTACGGTTACCACTCCAATCTCGCTCCTGTAATGGACTTCAATTTCACATTTAGTTTACTAATTTGTTTTGAGATTGTAGTATATTACAGGAGTGAGCTTGGAGCAGTGGCTAATTTACAACACACACAGAGACCATGGGGAACAAAAGTATCCCTCTCTCCAGAAGCAAGGACAGTGTCAGCACCTATTCAGAGATGATTTGAGGATCTACAGCGGAGTGATACACAAATATGGTCCAGTTTTGTTAATAGTTAGAGTCAACTCCTGAGTTTATTGTCATTTTAAGGTAATGGAAAGCTTAATGATACAGTGCATCGACCCAAAGGATTGACCTACAATGCTGAATGGTTAAATGTTACTTTGATGTTACTGCAACTGATACTTTGCATTCACTTTACAAATGGTATACTTAAGTCAAAATGAAAAATTAGACAATGAAGAGCATAAAATTGGCACAGCCTGCGTGCTCATATCTGATTTTTATCAAAGCATGATTGTGGAACAGCATACATTTTTATGTCGGCTTTTTTTCAAAGTATGATTGTATTGACCACTCTGTCCCTTCAAGCAACTGTTGATAACATGGTGTTCTGAGAAAGCCATCTTGCCATGGCATTTAAGTTTTTGTGTATTCCTAATCCCAGCCACAGCAGTCTTCATTCCCTATAGAGGGCTAAACGATATATCACCACACTAGCACATGATCCCCTTTCACATTCTGTTTCCGTTTAACCCTCTTGGCTTCTTACCCATTTTGCTTATTCCATATCTCACAGCACAGTTTATTTCTGGCTCCTATCCCTCCCCAGACTTTCTGGACCCTCATGCTGTTCTCTCCCTTGCACTGTTCCTGGCTAACCCCTAGTAACTCTATATACCTTCTCTTTGTTAACTGAACCCCCTCTATTGTTGGGAGGGTGGGACTTTATTTTGCCCCATAATGACAGCATAACTGGATCCCCCTCAGATGATAATTATATGATCAATGATATGGTCCAGAAACAGTTAGACAAAATTAAGGGGAACAAATCACCTGGACCAGATGGCTTACACCCACGTGTCCTCAAAGAATTAAGCTTTGTAATTTCAAAGCCATTGTATCTAATTTGTAGAGACTCTCTAATGACTGGCTTGGTACCGATGGATTGGCGCAAAGGGATCAACGTCTTTACCAAGTAATTACAGACCTGTTAAGTTGAACTTCAATAGTTGGGAAGATACTTGACTGTTTGATCAAGGATCACATGCAATTGTTTTTGCTTGAAAATAATACCATAAGCGATAGTCAACACGGATTCACAAAAGACAGAAGTTGTCAAACAAACCTACTTTCTTTTTATGAGGAAGTGAGTAATAATTGTACAGAGGAATGGCTGTGGCTATAGTATTCTTGGACTTTGCAAAAGTCACAGTTCCCCACATGCGGCTAATGTATAAGTTAAGGTCAGTAGGTATAGAGTATTCAATCTGTAATTGGGTAGAAAACTGGCTTAAAGACCGTATGCAGAGAGTGGTGATCAATGATTCATACTCTGAATGGTCTGAGGTTGTTAGTGGTGCCCCCCAAGGTTCAGTGTTGGGCCCCTTACTGTTTAATCCATTTATAAATGACATAGAATTGGGGATTAAAAGTACTATTTCTGTGTTTGCAGATGACACCAAGTTATGTAATGGAATACAGTCCTTACAGGATGTCTCCAACCTACAAGATGATCTGAACGCTCTGTGTGATTGGGCATCTATTTGGCAAATTAAGTTTAATGTTAATAAATGTAAAAACATGCATGCATCATACACTCTATGTTTGGGGGAGTCAATGATGGAGAAAGATCTGGGTGTTCTGGTAGATCATAAACTGAATAATAGCATGCAATGTCAAGCCGCAGTTTCTAAAGCAAACAAAATACTTTCTTGTATTATACGAGGTCTAGACTCCAGAGATAGAAACATAATCCTGCCCCTGTACAAAGCATTAGTAAGACCTCATCTGGAATATGCAGTTCAGTTTTGGGCACCAGTTCACAAAAAGGATATTGTGGAACTGGAGAAAGTGCAGCGAAGGGTGACTAAACTCATAAGAGGCATGGAGGAACTCAGCTATGAGGAAAGATTAGCTGACCTGAATTTGTTCTCTCTGGAGAAGAGGCGATTAAGGGGAGACATGATCACAATTTATAAATACATAAATGGTCCATATAAAGAGCTTGGTGCCAAATTATTCACGTTAAGGTCACTGCAAGGACAAGGGGGCACTCTTTGCGTCTTTAGGTGGGTTCCCTTCTTCTGGATCAACAGGGGGTAGCTGTGGGCATAGCATTCTGTTTTAAGCTTCTCTTCTCTTTTTTTTCTCTCCGTATGTCTATCGGTTGAACTCGATGGACTTGTGTCTTTTTTCAACCTGACTAACTATGTAACTATGTAATGGCGTGAGACCTGCCAGGAGGCAGAATTTTTAGCCGCACTGTTACTGCATAGATGAAGCAACTGACTGATAAAATGATTGGCTACTTTGAATTACTACCGTGTTTCCCCGAAAATAAGACACTGTCTTATATTTTTTTTCCCCAAAAAAACACACTAGGTCTTATTTTCGGGGAAAAACGGTATGTACAGAAATCAGGACCGTGACTGTCACGCAGAGCAGAGATACCGGCATGTAATGTACTGTATCATACAGTACTGGAGAAGGGGAGTGAAAGAATGGTACTGTGACTGTCACACAGTGTCACAGTACGGTACCTGGCTGCAGCTGTCTGGAGCTCTCTGATGCCGTCCAGGCATACTAAAAGCCGAGGCAGTCGGGAGGCAGTCGGGCGGAACGGCTTGCAGACGGGCCGGAGGGAGGGAGGGAGCTGCGGCCAGAAAGTTTTTTACGATCTCTACTTGTTTTTAGACCGTACATGCAGACGGGTGGACCGGCGGGCAGACGGGCCGGAGGGAGGGAGGGAGCTTTGCGATCGTGACATTTTATTAGACCGTAGTCGTACATGCAGACAGGAGACAAGCTGCACATGTCATTGATTTTTACACTCGGACCCCTTGCTGGCTGCTTGGATGCAGCAATACATGTGCACCCCCTACTGCCGAACCAGGTCTTATTTTCGGGGTAGGTCTTATATTATGGAAATCCCTGAAGTTAGCACTAGGTCTTATTTTCGAGGTAGGTCTTATTTTCGGGGAAACACGGTATGTATGAACACAACAAAAGGTGTTCTTTTAGCCTACATTTGCTATTTCCTTTATAAAATGGATTTCTATCAAAAGGTTATCTGTAAAAGTAACAGAACATTTGGGATCATTAAGTTTTTTATTAGGCCATTGCAGATGCCAATGATGTAGTGCAGTACTAGATCCAGTATCAAATCTTTCATCTGTTAATAGCAGTCAAAACAATTACGGATTATTGCTGGTTGCTCCTTTGTGTTACTGCCCTTCACACTTTATTTTTCACACTCCTAAATACCCCAAGGGTACATTGTTTACTGGCAACAAACCTTCTTCTTACACCGTATGTGAGAGCTGCATTCAATATCTACTGCTATGGAGATAAGGGGAAAGTAATGGTGACATCACAGAATCCCTAAGAAGATAGAACAGCTCTAAAATAAACTTGCTGAATTCTGCTAGTGTGAAAATATGGTATGGTGTGCACAGTTAAAAAAGCAGAATAACATCAACGTCATTAGAAAGATAGAGTGAACAATATTTTCTAGGGCTGTGCAAATTAACGATTAATTTATCGATTAATCCTTAATCTTTTTGATCGGTTAAAAATTTTTTGATCGATTACATTTTTTTGAAACTTTCTGCACGAGCGCCAGCCAAGGCATTGGCCTATACACATACAGCACAGCAATGAAGTAATAAAATGAACTAGGATCACACTAATCCAGCGCGTTATTATTCTGAGTTGCCCCACTCAAGCGGCGGCCATATTGAGTGGGGCACGTGGGATTACTAACGCGCTGGATTAGTGTGATCCTAGTTCATTTTATTACTTTATTGCTGTGCTGTATGTGTATAGGCCAATGTAGTTGGATCTGTATGTGCGTTATAATTAATCGAAATGAATCGATTAAAAATAATTTTGATTAATCGAACACGAACATTTTAATCAGTAACAGCCCTAATATTTTCTTCCATATTTTTTTCTTTATTTTCTTATACTTTAGCTCCAGAAATCCTGAGAGGATGTGCTTATGGACCTGAGGTGGACATGTGGTCTGTGGGTATAATAACCTATATACTGTAAGTACTGAAATATGTATTATTTTTATATATTTAAGGGCTGGGAATTCCAACTGTTGAAAAGGAAGGGGTTGTTGCTAGACCTGCCATTGGACCAAACCTCCAATACTTTTTAACTTGAACCTGTTCTTTGACCATGCAGGTCATAGCCTTTCCCAGCTGCATATACTTACCTTTCTTTTGTTTAGTGGGAGCAAAAGAAACTTTAAAGCAAACATGTGCTTTGTACATGCTTGACAAAGCAACAATTTTGCTTTAAACCCATCACCAGCATCAAATACTTACATCGTTTGCTCCCTTGCTGCTCTGTTCTGGGTATTGGAAATCATGTGATTTTCTCTGGCCCAGGACCATCCTGTTTTATTTACCCATTCCAGTCCCTAAGCCTGGGGCAGGTGTTAAATAGTAAATAACATGGCTAAAGATTTTAAATGTCATTATTAAAACTCTACCCTGGTGATTTGATAGCAATTCACATCCTTTGGATATGTGGTTTGAACATTTAACACCTGTTCCAGAAATAATGGTACCATCGTGGCTAGTACTGTACATGTAATTGAAACAAGGTAGTTTCACAAGATTTCACACCTCCCATCAGGTTATTGGTCAATCATCATCTGCCTTGACACATTCCATGGTGATAGGAGTTAACAGTGAGTTACCAGTGTGGCTGTGAATGCTGTAGTATGTTCCTGACACTTATTAGAACTTGCAATAGGTTGGACTTGATGGACTTGTGCCTTTATTCAACCTCAAATACTATGAAAAAAGTGACTTGGATAAGCTATAAAACGTCTGCTACATTGTAGAACAAATCCACTGGAATGTTACTAACCACTACTAGCTATGCCTTGACCTGGAGGAATGAGAACCTTCAGTGACAATATGCTATAAAAGAATTGTGTAAGATGAACTTTGGAAATTACATAGAAATTTTATGATATAGCAAACTGTAATAGTTCTTAGGGCAACACTTGTTCCTAGTCTACTGACTGTGCATGGTTAAATGTCCTCTGCGCTGTGGTATATATTATTGTTACATGCAAAACACTATCAGATTTGCATATTGTCATTCCGTGTGCAATATATACAGTATATACATATATATATATACATATATATACAGGTGAAACTCGAATAATTAGAATATCGTGCAAAGTTCATTTATTTCACTAATGCAACTAAAAGGTGAAACTAATATATGAGATAAGACTCATGCAAAGCAAGATAATTCAAGCCGTGATTTGTCATAATTGTGATGATTATGGCTTACAGCTCATGAAAACCCCAAGAACCCCAAATCCACAACCTCAAAAAAGTAGATTATTACATGCAATCAATAAAACAAGGATTGTACATAGAACAATATCGGACCTCTGAAAAGTACAAGCATGCATATGTACTCAGTACTTGGTTTGGGCCCCTTTTGCAGCACTTACTGCAATTACTTTTGCACGATATTCTAATTATTTGAGTTTCACCTGTATATATATATATATATATATAGTTATATATATAGTTATATATATTTATATATATATTAGTTTTCTTTTTTACTTTATTTTCACCTGTTGCTCCGGCTCGTAAGTCTGTTATTTTACAACGTTTTCTAACAGACCAAGTTGTCCAGCAAAAGTAAAGGAGATAGAGGGCTGAGACAAACCATTTAACATTGACAGGGGTGCTTACAATGATCAGCTTTTATTCACTTGTGCAAAGCCTTTATCCCAAAAGGAAGAAATAAACTGTTGCTGTAACTGCTTAAAAAGAAAACCAATGCAGCCACCACATTTAGGAATTGGTAAGCTGCAATATACTGTATATAACATTTTTGTTTTTGGGCTTAGATATACTTTAAAAGTTAACGGTCCTCACAGATTCGGTGTTAGACATGAATTCCTTCAGTGGTTCTGTTACCTATACACAATATGCACTGTAAATAGGTTGTGCCTTATTACTATAGAAATGTTACACCCAAATGACAAATTGCTATGTTATCTTCTGTACTACCGTATGTTGGCATCACTATATTAACATCAAATTCAAACTCTCTGCAGGAGTTCTTCATGAACATTATTCCTCTTTCACAAACCTTTACTACAACAATATGGGCAGTAATTACACAGCATCACCCTGTGATCTCTTATGACACAACATCCTGAGAGACATTCCTTGCTGCCTTTACTTGACCATATGTTGCATCCCTCACCCATATGCTTCCTAGCACTCATACACATCGCCATGCTGTAGCTGTTGCAGAAATCACTGTATATATTTAGACGTGTAAATGAAATGCCTGGAGTTGTCGACATTGCATAACATCTACAGTATCAAATAGAAAAAGTAATCTTCAGTAAATCTATGGTTCTTTGTTAGGACTGTGAATTAGATATGACGTCAAAGTTATATTATAAAGGTTTATTGCGCAGATGTTTATTTTTTTTATTATTATATAGGCACCCCATTCCTGTAACAGACAGGCACATGTGACAAGGGTAAAAAAAAACTTTGCTTCCATGATACAATAGGAACTTTCCATGTATTCCTTTATGTCAGTTATTACGATGCAGTGAAGGGGGAGCACAGTCACAAAATTATTTTGGGGGGTCAAGTACTAGACTGTATTTTAGCTCCTCTTTCATTATTATTGTTATTATTATACAGGATTTCTATAGCGCCTACAGTTTGAGCAGAGCTTTACAATTCATGCAACGAATTGAGAGAAATTATATTATATTAAATAATTTCAAAAGCTCTTTTAACACAATACTGCTTTTTCATTAAACTGGAGTTCTATCTTCCCCATTATCTTACAAAATTTTGTTATGAGAAAAAAAATTGACAGCAATCATTCTATAAAAAATGGTCCAGTAAATGGGAATTCTGGGGGCGCTGCCTGATCCGTACCACAGTCAATAGAGTACAGTATAAGTGCAGACAGGGCACTGGACAAAGCTCTATGGACAAAATTGAAGTGGAATAGTTTGATAAATATATGTAATTATAGCAGATTACATTGTATTGTGTGTATTCTGTGTAAATGTCATGTTTTCACTTTTGAAATTCCCGCCGGCCCTGCCCTCCACTGTTCCTGAATTCAGAGAAGAGTTGCCACTCCCATGTAGGCTGTGCTTGCTTGCATTACTGGGGAATAAGAAAATGTTGCAAGGGGTATGGATATCAACATTGTCACTGCTGATTCACAAGCCAGTAACTTGTCAATGAGCACCTGGTCACACCTAGCCCTACCCACTGCTTTCTGGATTGACAGCACTGACTGTTTTGCTAAAACTTCTCACTGAGCTGAAGTGTCTGGGAGGGGTAGCATATGAGACACAAATTAATCAGGATTTGGCTCAGTCAGGGAAGGTAAAGGAAGTTTTATGTTTACTTTTCTCCCCCACTGCTTCTTCCTCCATTATAGCCATCGCAAAGTATATGGTGCATCCAGGTATGGGGGGTGTCCAGGCATAAGACCCCCCCAGGATGCAATGCTTGTGAGCTAGTTACTAGCCCCGAACATTGTAACATGAGAGAGGAGGGGGGCAATATCATTAAGCTTCTGTAAGCTTGTGACACCATCTAAAATGCAGCTTACACAGAGTACTTTGTAATGGATGTGATGAAGGTAGGTGGGGGGCGTTGAGAAGGTATTAGGGGACCAAGCTGGGGGAGTGGGGCTAGAAAAACATACCCTGAATGGGCAAAGTGACAGAGTAATTTGCCAAGAGAATAGAAGCCTACAATGGGTTTCAGTAAAGAGATTAGAAAAACCTATACTGAAATAAACATATGCTGCCATGGCTGACCTTTCTGCTGATACTGCCAGCTGCCTGGCTGTCATACTATTTCAGCAGCTTCAGTGCTATCTGAGTCACTGACCCAGAAAAAGTATGCAGGTCAGGAGTGCTGAGTTCAATCTGAACTTGCTGCTGCATTTTTGTTTCAAGTCATTGACTCTAAAAATATTTAAATCCAAGTCAGCCAGGCAATTAGAGTTTTCTGAAGGATGTAATTATAAAACTTAACTCTTAACATGTAATGTGACCCTAACATTTGACCTTCAACATATCCCTAATTTGGAACCCTTAAATGTAACCCTTTACCTGCACTCTAAATAATTCACCCATGGTTTAACCCTCTAAACCGAGACCTAACAAAACACTAAAGCTTACTCCTAACACTAACCTAAAGTGCCTGAACCCTGACCCAATCCCTAACGCCTTGAATTAACCTCTGCAGCAGCTTACTTGCCGTTTCCAGTGCCCTTCGGGGGTTTTTTTCAAAGCTATTTAACATATTCCACATTACTTGACATGGGGGGTAAATTATAAAAAGATTAAAAAGAAACTGTATTTCTGTGCACAGCAAATTGTCTGGTTTTGGTTGAACATAGCTATTTTGTGTTGACTGACTATGCCAATGTCTCAACTGGCAGGCTGTGTGGTTTTGAGCCTTTCTATGATGAACGTGGGGACCAGTACATGTTTAAAAGAATTCTTAACTGTGACTATGACTTTGTCTCCCCCTGGTGGGACGATGTATCTCTGAATGCCAAGGACTTGGTGAGTTAACTGCAAGCATGCTTTACCTCCTCTGCGCTTTTATTGTAGTACATCACCATGAAAACATTATTTGTTTGACATGTTACAAGGAAACTGTAATAAGAAAATGTAAACTAGCATTGCTAACTTCTACTTAGTTGTGCTGATGTTCTTGATACCCTGATTCTATATATCTATATATATCTATATAT